GTGGGCGCAGGGGTCCAAGGACTTGGGCCATCTTACCCTGCTTTCCCAGGCATTTGCAAGAGCTGGACTTGAGGTGGAACAGCTGGGACACGAATTGGAGCCCATATGGGATGCCAGCATCATACGCTATTGCTTTACCCACTATGCCACAATGCTAGCTCACCTCCGACCCACCTCTCCCTTTTTAAAAAATTTTTTTTTGTTTTGTTTGAAAATCAAAATTACAGAGAAACAGGGAGAGATAGAGAGAAAGAGAGAGGTATATGAGGCTAATTGAGATTTTGGAATTAAAACCCCAGGAATAAGAATAGTACAATCAGTTGTGCAATAACCCCCCCGTGCCCACCCCACATGCTTGTGCATACCAAACCCTGGAATCTGCAAATAAATGTTCCTTTATATGAAATAGGGACTTTGCAGCTGTGATTAGATTGAGAACATTTGGGATTAGGCTTGTCCCAGATTACTGTGGTTGGCGTAGTGTAACAGAACGTTCCTTAGAAGTGATATTCAAGAAGAATCAAAAGCAAAGGAGAAAGTGGTGTGATGATGGAATCAGAGATTGCAGTAATGCACTTCAGTGCATAAACTAAGAAACACAGATGGCTACCAGAAGCGCGAAAAGACAAGACAACTGGTACTGCCCTAAGCCTCAGGAAGGAGTCAGCCGTACTGACTGAGCTTAGTGAAACTGACTTTCAACTTAAAGACAAATAAAAATGTTTTGCTAAATTTGTGCTAATTTATCACAGTGGCAATAGAAAACTAAGAGAGAGAGAGAGAGAGAGAGAGAGAGCGAGCACCCTGAAGATGGCAGAGATAAAACCCTAGGGAAGATCACCTTTAGAAATAAGGGCAGGGGGCTGGTGCTATGGCATAGCAGGTAAAGCCACCACCTGCAGTGCCGCATCCCATATGGGCGCCAGCTTGAGTCCTGGCTGCTCCACTTCCTATCCGGCTCTCTGCTATGGCCTGGGAAAGCAGTGGAAGTTGGCTCAAGTCCTTGGGCCCTTGCACCCATGAGGGAGAACCGGAGGAAGCTCCTGGTTATTGGCTTTGGATGGGTGGGGCTCTGGCCATTGTGGCCATTTGGGGAGTGAACCAGTGGATGGAAAAATCTCTCTTTCTCTCTGCCTCTCCTTCTCTCTCTTTGTAACTCTGATTTTAACTAAAAAAAATTTTTTAAAGAAATAATGGCAGCAGAATGAACTAGTCAGAATACACCAGAGAGCAAAACAGGGAGGAAGTGGGATCACAGAACCTAAGACAGATGACAGTTCCAGGAGAATAGATCTTGTTCTTCAGCAAGGTTAGAGTTCCTGGGGTCTATCCTGGATAAGGAGAGCAGGTGAAACAGGAGAGCTGGCAGATCAGAGACTTGGGGTTTGAATAACTAGAGGTTGTGCGGTGACAGGAGACTGAGAGCAGTGGTAGCACAGGGTCAAGATATCTGGATGGTGAGGGCTGTTGCTATGTGACATACATTATTAAAACGTAAGATTTTGAAGGTGGCTGGTAATTCGGCATGGAAATGATGTAGTGACCAGGATCTGATAGGATATTAACTTTATTCAAATTTTTCATTTTCGTCAATATAGTGTGGGTGACACTACACTGCCTTTTCTGTGGTCCACCCTTTCACACCTCCGAACTGAAGTCTAGGAACCATAGAATCTAGCCAAAGTACTGTAGACGGAGGAAGTTCCCGGCCAGCTGGGAGGCGGGGAGGTGGGTGGGCATGCACCTGGGGGGGCTCAGATGCTGAGGGATGCCGTCTGTGCTGCAGCTCTGCACGCCGCTCTCTCCTTTGCCAGCCTTCAGGCTTCACTTCTCCTGGAGGAAGAAGCTGCCAGGTAGCGCTCTTTCACTGTGCCTCCCAAGATGCACAGATCCCTTCACGCTGTCAGCGGAGCCTGGCAGCTCAGTGTCCCCGACTGCATTCACATCTCCCTGGAGCCCTTTCCCCTAGTGTTGAATCATCAGGTAACGGTTGACTGTGAACATCATTCGTATAACGTCAGGGAGGACTGACAGGCTCTTGCTGAGGGCGGGGTCATGGGTGGAAGCTGAGCTCTTTGTGTGTACTTCTTCCTTGTTCTCCAGAACCGTGATTTCTTTCTTTGGGCTGGTTTATTCACTTGCAATATGTTTTTCTCTTGTTTTGTTTGGCAGCTGTTGCTACTGTCTTACTGTTTATTTGTTTTTCTCTTCTCTTTGCTCATTTTATTAAATTCTATGGGAGGGGAATTAAATGTTGTAGTCTGCCATCTTGACCTGACCTGGAAGATTGTCACCAGTAATAGTTCAGTGGCTTCTTTTACTCATTATGTAGAGGAAAAAAAGTCAGTCTACAAAAATGATATTTCAGATGTAGGGTTATTTTTATGGAGTTGAGTTTATTACAGATAGTGCTAGAACTAACTTGTGTTTTTAATTTCCCCAAAATGCCTCGATTGTGTGGTGATAAGAGCAATAAATATCAAATATAAATAAGTACTTGCATCTTACAACTAATTTATAAATATTTTACATGTACTGTGACCATATTTATTTATACACAGATAATACATAGTCAGACCATCTGTACCTATGAAAACTGTTGACCATATAAAGTTTTAATTCGTAGGCTTAAGATGTTTCTTCTCTATTGCTTTATTTTCCTCGGCATCCTTTCCTGTAATTATTTTCGTAACTCATGGCAGTCAGTTCTGCTTTAAGGCAAAAGCCAAGGAAATACAGCTTTTGAGTTTATGCCAGAACTTTTTCTGCTTTGGAGAAGATAATGTTTATAACTGTATATTCCAATTTTTATTAATCTGATATTCTGTTAGCAACTGTTGCTTGTTCTTGTTAATTTTCACACAAGCATATATGAAACTAAAAAGCAAACAAAATACTACAATCACAATACCCACATTATATGAACATTGTCCAAGAGAATTCATGCAGATGCCAGTACTATACGCAATTCATATGTAATTCCAACTCAAGATTGCTATATCATCCTCTTTAGTTGATACATCCTTGAAAAGTATGGATGTTTCAGCAAAAATTGAGTAAGAGTCAAATGAGAATATTTGACAGTCATGAGACATAACTATACTGTATAAACATACAGAGTAAATTAGATGCAAACAATGATAGTAGAAAAGAAAATTCATCTTGAAAACTAACTAACTTCTCTAAATTGAGTTAGTAAGGTGACAGTGATGCCAGGAATATCTTGTAAGTGATTTTCATCCTGCACTGCTCCCTCCCTCTTGCACAAAATCATTTCTGCATATTCTAATATCTCATCAGTTCTATAAAGGAATAACCAATAAAAATTCCTTTTGTTTATTTTTGTTGTTATGAGAAGAAAAATAGCTGCAAGCAAGTCTGATTTATTTCATTAAAATTATTTTAATTCACACCAACATACAATAAACTGACAGTATGTGTAAGCTATAAAAGTTATAATTTTGTTCTAGCCTCTGATTATCGATATCTGGAATTAGTAATAAGAGCAATCAGGAAGTCCAATAACTTCTAGATATCACATGTTAGCCTATGGAAAGTTCCAATGGAACAGTGGCTAATTCCAGATGTGTTTTGTCTTCAGATGGATTTTTACCTTCTATTTACAAGGACGAGAAGTCATCTGAATGAAGGCTCCTCATAGATTCCCAAGGCGGCTCCATCTTCCTTCATTCTCTTGGGCAATCCATTTGGTGTCTGAACATATTACTGACACTTTCTTAATGTAATTATGAGTAAAGAGTTGCTGGAATATCCTTTAACATTGCAATTTATGGAAATTCATATGCAAGTTATGGAAAATCATAGTTAGTACCTTTGTCATCTCTCCAAAATTTTTCTGTTTAGTCAAGTTACTTAATAAAGTGCTTAAAAAATAGACTTGCAGGAACTCTTTTAACAAGGATATTATATGTTGTCATGAGAACTTATTTGAGTTTATTACAACCTCTGCCTGAGGAGGCTAGAGAAGTCAATGTTGAAAAGCCCATCAAGACTGGCGCTTCACTAGGCTAATCCTCTGCCTGTGGCGCTGGCACCCCGGGGTTCTAGTCCCAGTCGGGGCGCCGGATTCTGTCCCAGTTGCTCCTCTTCCAAGCCAGCTCTCTGATGTGGCCTGGGAAGGCAGTGGAGGATGGCCCAAGTGGTTGGGCCCTGTACCTGCTTGGAAGACTGGGAGGAAGCACCTTGCTCCTGGCTTCGGATTGGCGCAGTGTGCAGGCCGTAGCGGTCATCTAGGGGTTGAACCAATGGAAGGAAGACCTTTCTCTCTCTCTCTCTCTCTCTCCTCTCTCACTGTCTAACTCTGCCTGTCCAAAAAAAAAAAAAAGCCCATCAACTCTCTCTACTCTACTCCACTATCATTATTCCATGATCCAACACATTCTCCAAATTTCTCTAGGTTTATTCCAATAACTAAATGGTAAATTTACCAGGCAAAATAATAGAGTGTTGATTCATGTTCAACTTCATGGTCTGTTGGTGAAGGCTTGAATGGCCACATCTCAAAGAAGCAATGGGAATAATTAATTTGCTTCTATTTACGAATTTAGCAGCTACTTACATAATTGGGTTGTATATTAAATAGTTTAAAAATCACTTGTGTATTTTCTAATACTAAGAGAGATATGAACATTGACAACTAGGAAATGGTTTTGCTTTCTGTTTAATAAGATGTAGTCTTGCTAGTTTTAAAGGGCCACTACCCTTACTTTTACAACAGTATTTCTTGAATTTTTGATTTTTTTCCCACAAAGGTTAATTGTCAGTATTAACACATTTTTAAAAAATGTCTTCTAAAGAGAACATGAATAACTAGAACAAATCTGCAGAATTGAAACATCAGAGAACAGTATAATATTTTTCAATGACTGATGGATTTAGCTAGATTATGGATACTCATTCTCTTCTCATATATAATCAGTATTTCTATATATAGATATATGGCTATATTTACTCTGTTAGTTACCTTTTCAATATGGCAGTGAAATAGCAGAGGTAACTAGTGCTTGTAAAAAAAACTTTATTTAACTCAGAGATCCAAAGGATCCAGTCCAAGATGGAGAAGCCCCATTGGACTGGCCTCTGATGAGGGTGACAGATGCAACAGCAGAGCACTTGAGGAGACAGGATCACCTGTTGAGCCAGGAAGCAGAAATAGTGGATGAATCCAACCTCTGGCTTTTATAATGACTGTCTTTTTCTTTTCTGAAAGATTTGTTTATTTATTTGAAGGTAAGAGTTACACAGAGAGAAAAGGAGAGGCAGAGAGAGAGGTCTTCCATCTGCTGGTTCACTTCCCAACTGGCCGCAATGGCCGGAGCTGCGCTGATCTGAAGCCAGTAGCCAGGAGATTCTTCCAGGTCTTCCACGTAGGTGGAAGGGACCAAGGACTTGAGCAGGGGCCCAAGGACTTGAGCCATCTTCCACTGTTTTCCCAGGCCATAGCAGAGAGCTGGATCAGAAGTGGAACAGCCGGGACTCAAACCAGTGCCCATATGGGATGCCGGCACTGCAGGCGGCAGCTTTACCTGCTACACCACAGCACTGGCTCCAGTGACTCTCTCTTAAGAGGTGCTCTTGAAGGATTGGCTTCTAATGGTCGAAGGACCTTCCACTAGGTCCCATCTCCCAATAATTTCAACACCTCCCAGTTGCACCACCTTGAAGGGGGGTAAACCTTTAACAATCGGGCCTTTGGGGAACACCCAAACTAATATCCAATCCATAGCACTTCCACTTTACTTTTTAAAGAAACAAACTGTACATTTCCTTTACTATGACTATTGTTTTACCCCTCTGTAAAGAAAATTATCACTGCAACCTCAACAGAGAATTCAGCTATATAATAGCTCTTCTAATTTTCCTAAATTAATCACAAGTGTTCTCCCAGAGGATTACCTATAACTCCGAGAGAAACTGCTGTGCGTACAGCTCATCCTGAGAAGCAGGTTGATCATAATTAGATTTATTGACTTCAGCTTTCCTTTCTTTAAGGTCCTTGATTGAAATAACATTGATTCTAGTGTCCTGAGCCATTTAAGACAATTTGTCCATTTAGAGAAGAGCCACATGGTGGCAATCACAGTAAAGTGTGAGATAAGGATCATTGTGATGTTTGTGGAACAGTTTCATTGCTTTGGGATTCTCTTTGATTAACCAAGTTGGGAGACTAAGATTACCTGGAAAAAAAAATGTGAAATAGGAATTTAATGCATATGAACAGAAGGGAGGTAAGAATTAGCAGCATTAGTTTGAGTGGCACAACCAGCTTGTTTGAAAAAACCTCCTCAGAGTTCTTCCAGTGCCCTTCAGGCCTGACCTGAACATAGAGTACTTGGCCATCTACAAGAGTACAGATTGTTAATCTTCACCAACCCCTTGCCAGTCACTGGCAAGAGAAATGTCCACACAGTTGAATAATGCTCTAATTATTTAAGCATAAAAATAATTTTGGAATTAAGATATCTTCATAAGATCATTAAAAATGTTCAAATAGATTTTGGTACCGTAGATACAACATCAGTCATTGTCATTGTTATAATCATTTTGTCACAAAATTTATTGATTAGATTATATAATAAGATATTTGTGGGTGAAATGGTATAGTGATTGATATTAGCTTTAAATGTATGTAATTGGGGCAATAGAAAACATTTAATAGGCAAGCTGTTTGCACAGGGGATTCATTAATTAGCCAGTCTACATTTTAGTAGGTTTGGAAATTTCCTTAAGAACAATGGGAGGAAGTCAATGATTATTATATGAATGTTAGTATCTTTAGGTTCTAGGTACAGTAGAAACAGTAACTGGTGATTGATCTCATAAGAGAAAAATTCTTTAGGTATTGTAATCTTTGCATTTAAAATATCAGAAGCTAGCAGGTCAAATTTTTCTTGTAGGGTTACAGAGTTAGATGGGGGTGCTCTCTTTTTCAATGTTAGTCAATACATGTTGAGCATCTTCAATGGGACAGGTCAATCAGTGGATCCTGATAACACTCATATGAACAAAACATATTGCAATCCGGGAAGGAAAGAGTTACACAAACAGATAATTATAAAATCCTGTTGTAAATGGAAGAGGAGGCCTTAACACTTTTGAAGTGGCATTAATGACACAAATAAGAACATGGCAAGCAGAAAATAGTATATACTGGCAGAATCAGTGGTTGAGTGCCACCAGCGTTTCCTATGTCAGGAAACTGAGGGAAAGAGCGAGAAGGGAAAGAGGGATGGGTAGGAGGGCAGAAAGCTATTTCTGTGGCTGGTGGAGGGCCACTGGAGATTTAGCTGTTGGGGTAGCTGGGAGGAGGATAGGTTGAGAGTGTAACACCAGAATCAGGGAAGACAGAACTGTGTGGTAGGCAACCAGGGAAGAGATGAGAACTTGAATCACATCCTGACTTTGTGGGGGAGAAGCATAGGAAGAAACATTTCGTGGCAACAGAACAGGATAGAATGCTTATCTTTCCTTGCTTCTCTTCTTCCTCTTCTTCCAATCTTCTTTCTTTCCTTTTCCTGTTTCTCTCTCACCTCCCCCCTGCCTCTTTTTTGACATATCTTCACAGACTTAATTTTCAAAATCTTTTTAGAATAGTTAATGTATGCTCATGGCATAGAACTTGAAATACAAAAAGGACAAAATAAAGATGCCTCATTATAGGCATTTGGACTAGCACGTAAGATGCTGGTCAGGACTGAGTTGAAGTTCCAGCTCCACTCCTGATTCCAGCCTCTGGCTAATGGGCACCCTGGGACTCAGCAGATGATATTCCAAGTAACTGGGTCCCAGCCACACAAATGGGAGATCCAGATTGAGCTCCCAGTTTTCCGTTTTGGCCCCATCCAGTTGCAGCTGTTGCAGTCATTTGGGGAGTGAACCACCAAATGGAAGTTCTCCATCAGTGTGTCTTTCTCTGTTTCTCTGCCTCTTAAAAAAATAATAAAATGTTGCTTTTCTACAACCTTCGCTCCTTAGCACCCCAGCTTTTCTCCCCACTCAGAGCCAGCCACTGTTCCTTCTCAGGTCCTTTTGGGTCCTTGTGTATTGCTACAGAGAAGTCTAAGCCTTTGCAATCATACATATATGCTTTTAATGACTTTTAAAAATAACTTGTTGGAGACTCTGTGTACATACTTGACAAATTAATTAGCATGCTAGCTGCACTAGATTAAAATCCTGTTAATTAATTTGATGGGTCATTTGGTTATATAGCTCTAAAAGAAAATACAGGCCTTCTTTGGCTGACAACAATGAGCTCATCAAGGATATTCACATGAATAATTTTGTTTGGGAAATGAAAGGTGTTAAACTCTCTTAGCCTTTCGCTTTCTAGTGGCTCTGAATGCTGTTAATCTAATGTCTATCCAGAGTCCTGTGTAATCTTCAGACAACCTCAATGAACACTCTTTCAGTCTATTAAAAAAATCAGCTTATGTAAAAAATATTACCCTGCTAAACGGCCATTATCTTAACTAAAAAACAAGTGAGACCAAAATAAGCTTGCTTTAATTAAAAAAAAAAAATCAAAGACAAACCTTTACTCTTCCTTCGATGGTGGTTGTGGTGTTTTCATGGAGTGAAATGTTGCAGGTACCATTTTCACCTCCTCTACACTGCAGTAAACCTCTTAGCGCAATAATTCCTGGAAGAGCAGGAGAGATGATGCTTTCATAAATAAATATTAGTGCATTCGTCTCCTTCCAGTGCAAGCCAAACATTTCTGGCTGCTTATTTCCCTAGGTGGCCAGAAGAATACAATCCCTGTTATAAAAATTTGGCTGCCTCAGATATGTATCTGACCAGAAGTAAAACTCTCATTTGCATAATGTGCCTGTATTTCTGTTGGTGAAATATGGCACAGCGATCATCTAACAGGCATCATAAAATAACCTCATGTGTGATTAAAAGCACTATGTCTTAATTTGTAGTTGTATTTTACTTACAAGGAGTTTTTCTTAGTAAATACTTGCTCAGGGACTAAAACCTTTAAATATAAAAATTTAGACTAAAAATGATGATTATGTCATGTTCGATTCTTAGATTTTTCTTAATATGATTTTCATTCCTCAATGCTTAGAAGCACGTTGAGATAATTAGAGATATAAATTTCTAAAAATATTAAGCACAATATTCTTGAGTAATATTTAATTCAAAGCTAACTAGTTACTCCGGAATGTCATGATTCCCGTATTTCAAGTTGGAGTATCCCCATTCACTGAGAACCCAAGTGTGTTATTATTATTTTACAAAATCAGCTTGTTTTTACTATGTTGGGTCTGAAATTATTCTATTTCTGTATGTAAGCTGTTCTGAATTATTTAATAATACTCTATACCAATCCTCTGGAATATGTTTTTCTGGTGTGTTCACTGCACCTCTCTAGGACTTAGAACATACTAAGTGCTGACTAAATATTTTTAATGAACAAAATAAATATGATCTATAATCTATATTTATGTTATAGTACTTCTTGGTCATGCATTGTGCATTTTTCAACTTTAATTTTTTCTTTGTTGTTAAAAAATTAAACCATATAATATATGATTTAAAAATATTGATCCTTGATTAGCTCATCACAGTCCAGTTGCATGAAGCCCACTATAGAAAAGTATTGACAATTTAATGTTTTTTTTATTTTCCATACTTCCTTATTCTACTGCAAAGTGACTGTAATTATAGAAAAGCTGTAGACTTATAAAAAATAAATAAAATGCAAGAGAGAGGACTAGATTATAAGTCACAGAGAAGTAGATTGTAAAAGGAGAGAGAGTCCTGCTTTATGTTAATAAGACTGCTCTTCAATGATGAACCTTTCAATACAAGGTACCCTGCACTGCTCTATACACTTCATCATAAGCTAATGAAAGAGGCACTTTAATTAGGAAGATAATAAGTGATTCAGGGAGTGAGAACAAAGGGAAGAATTCCAAATTATCACAGCTATAGACAGAGAGACAGCTGCCATGTGAGGGAAGGAAGGCTTGTGGGACAAGGCAGAGAGCAAGCAAGCTGCATGATATTGCCATAGGTAGGAATGGAAGGATGTGACAGCATCCTCAAATGCCAAGCCCACCCTGTAGCATTAAAATATCCTAGGGCCATCCTGGATCTCCAAAAGGAAATATAATTCTAAGCCAGTATCATCGCTTTTAATAGAAAATCTGACTATTAAAGCACTAAAATTATTTCCAATTTTAGAATGAATCACCAAAGTACTCTCACACTTATTGTTCACGTGACTGGTTTAGTCAAAATCCCTAGTAGTTTTTTGACGTTCCTTAAAGAATCAATGGTCTGTCATCAGAAATAGCAGGAAAAGAATACTCTTTCTCCCAAGGAAATATTGCCAGCCATTTGACTCTCAGGAGGCTGATTGCTAGAAAGAATTGTGCTGCTTTGAATAAATAGATAGAAAATGGGATGTAAATATTCCACGTGACTGTAAATCAATGATACAGCATATCTCCTAGGACTTTATTTTTCATTCCGCCATTTTCATGCTTTCTTCTCCCAGAGATGCAGAGAAAGTACTTGGTAAAAGAAAACACAACACAAAGGCAATATGCATTTAAAAATGATTTTCATTTTTAAGAGGGAGGCATTTATTTTCATCTGTATGTTAACTTGCTTTCTCTTCTACAAAACAAAGGTCTCTACTGGAATTAGCAGTGAACTTCTGTAAATACCTTGGATGGAGACACTAAGCAGTGATACCCAAAGTGTGATTTATGGTCTGGTGACATCCTCTGAACTCTTGCTGAATTGCAGAAATGGGGACTAAACATTTATAGACTTTTACAGCAATTTGGCAGAGTAATTTTATTGTTTATTCAGCTTAATAGTAAAAAAAAAAGACTTTTTATCTTTTTCAAGTAACTTTTTTTCCATAAACACTAGATTAGAATTTATCTATCTTTGGATTAGAAAGAAAAAAAAAATGTCACGGATAGTTTGATAGATACTGGACTAAACTGCTTTATAGAAAAAAAATGTTTATAGCATACTTTCAGACCTTCTTTTGAATAATTCTAAATATCTGGGTCTTTGAATATTTCAAATGTCTTTCTCCATGTTTTCTCTGTTATTTAAAAAGCAAGTGCATCAAACTGCCTGCATCTGGTAAGAGCCTTTTTGCTGCAATATCATATGGCAGAGGACACTGCATGGTGAAAAAGAACGCAGGACAGCAAACAGACAGGAGCAAGAGAGAGCCAAGGAACCACAGTCCCTTTGTAACCAAGCCACTCGCCTGATAATTAACCTACTCCCTCAATAATGGCCTCAGTCCATTCATGAGAGCAGCGTCCTCATGGGCTTATCACCCTGTAAGGACCCCATATCCCAACACCGTCACAGTAGCAATTCGATTTCAACATCACTTTTTTTTGGGAGGGAGGAGGTGCATTGAAACTGGAGCACCGGATGAGCTTTCTCCAATGTACCCTCAAACTTTTCATTCTGTTATCTTTGCTATCGGCTGATTAAGTTGACTAATATCTTCAGAGAGAAAGTAGAAGACTAACTTCTTTTCAGCAAATCGACATACAAAAGTCCCAAGAAAGAAAAGTTATTTTCTAGGGTGAATATTAATCGCTGTGTCTGTACTCGTAGTCTTGTTTCCTGTCTTCCCACGTTTACCCTTACCTTTTTCTTCAGGCTTTATTTCCTTTCTCTTGTTCAACAGTCCATAAATATACATAGTGCTCTCGCCTTCTTAACACTGGTTGCTCAGTCTATACCTTCTTCAAACTTTACTTTCTCAACCCACTTTACAACTAAACCTTTTGTGAGACTGGATTCAATGTATCTGGTTCTCAGCTCCGTTTATTCTTCAACCCTTTTCCATTTGGCTTCTGCTCTCAGCACCCACAGCTGGTCTTGACAAAACCAGCAACAATTTCCTTCCTGCTAGATCCATATAACCTTCCCCTGGTTGATCTCGCTGCTCCACTTTGTACTGCGACATGTTCTTACACTCTTCCCATGCTATTTCACCGCCGTTGAAGTCACAGAATCCTTTGGAAGGATACTGGTATTTCTCAGCGTTCTGTCTTAGATTGTATTATTTCAATTTGCCCACTGGCTAGGAAATGTCTCCCTCCTTTTCTGTTGTGGCTTTAATAATTCTTTGTGTGCTGAAGACCCCCACATTCATCTGTCAAGGCTGGCACTGTGGCATAGAGAGTTAAGCCTCTGCCTGCAGCTCTGGCATCCCATGTGAGCACCAGTTCCAGACCCAGCTGCTCCACTTCTGATCCAGCACCCTGCTAATGTGCCTGAGAAAGCAGTCCTTGGGCCCCTGCACCCAGGTAGAAGACTCAGAAGAAGCTCCTGGCTCCTGGCTTTGGTCTGGTCCAGCTCTGGCCATGCAGCTATTTGGGGAGTGACTAGCGGGTGGAAGATCTCTTTCTCTCTCTCTGTGTCCCTCTAACCCTGTCTGTAACTCCGACTTTCAAATAAAATAAATACATCTCTTTTTTAAATTTCTCTCTTTATTTTCACATCTGCAAATCTCTCTTCCTATAATACGTGTCTTCAATATTCCATGGGTCCATCAAAGTCAGCAGTCACATAACACAGGTCATCTTCTCTATCAGCGTGTACTCTTCGACCTTCTACATGGGTTCCAAACTGGAAATCTGAGCATCGTCTTTGACCACTCCCTTTTTTGCTTTAGTATTCTTGTTATGGGGCAGTGTACTACTTTTTTCCTTCACCTTCTCTGATATCTATTTCAGTCCATCATGTTGCTGTCAACAGCTTCATGAAATGTCTCCATTTCTTTACCAAGATCTCCCTTCAACTTATACTGTACAGCAATGATTTTTCCAACACCAAAATCTGATGTGTGTGTTGCAATGATGCCTAAAAGCATTCAATGGCTCTTTGTCACCATGAGGGTAAAGTCCAATTTCCTTTCCATGTTTCTTATGGTCCTTTATCTCGTGGGCTCTCCTTGCCAGTCTTCTGTCTGCCTTTTAATGTTTCAACCACACTGCACCTTGGTTAGACTTTCAAGTATCCCCTCCTTCTTTCTCTCCCTCTCTCTTCCAGATCTTCCCACTGCCTCTTCTTTTTGCTCATAAATCTACTGTAGCCACTCTTTAGATGTCCACCCCCTTAATGCTTGTCCTGTGGTAGGCAAAGTCCTAGAAGGCCCTAGTGGAAATTTCCTGACGAGTGCGTCCTATATCCCCTCCTTCTTTCTCTCCCTCTCTCTTTCAGATCTTCCCACTGCCTCTTCTTTTTGAGTTTTTCATTACATACACACAAACACACACACACACACATGTGTATATACTTTCCCTGTCTAAATGATATATATTATCCAAGTGTCACTTAGGCATAACTTCCTTTAAGAAACCTTTCTGATGTTATAAACTGGTTGGGGGGGGGTGTTGGTTCTCTTTTTGTGTCCACAAAAATTAATGTTTTATTTCATTTACATAATATGTGTCACATTCTACTATACTTTTCTATTTTTGTCTTTTTATCTCCCATTAGTCCGCAAGTTCCATTAGGGCAAGAATCACTTTTTTGTTTTGATTATAATGTTCTTGATACATACCAAGTTCTAATAATTATTCAAGCCATCAATGCAGAAAGAAAAGAATAGGATGATACAGGCAGAATAAAACTCATAGAGGCAAAAAACAAAGGAGATTAAAACAAGATCAATAAATCGAAGTCAGGAACTTAGGAGACTAGAATCAAGAAAGTAGAGATGTTCCTCTTTAGGGATTCAGTTGGTAACAGGATCATGACAAAAAGGCAGAATCCCTGGCATCAAACACTTACCTGACTTGGCCATGTCTTTTCCATTTGAATTGGCCCCTGTAAATTCTGATTGGCTCTCCCAGGGACCTTTCCACGCTGTCCAAATGCCTTGTTCTCTGAAACATTGTATCTGTCATTACCATCAGCCGTATGTTGTAAAACACTGCTTTATCTGACTGGGTACTTAGGCATGGCCTTTGCCTTCTGGGAGCTCATATTCTGTCCAATACAAGGCGTGGACACCAAATTGGCAAAATATAAAATGAAAGAACTAATATTTACTTAGTAACTGCACACAAGGCAACTGCATTGTGCCCAGTGACAAATGAAAAGGAATCACAGATGCTGTATGATTTAACCCAGCACCTTTCAAAGTGGTTCGTGGCTGCCTCAGAAGGGCCATGTGACTCATGAATTTCCTAGTCCAGTATGTACTTATTTCCAATGTACTTTCTTCCTCCTGTCATCATTTATGATGCCATATACATGCTAAGGCAAATCAAAATCCTTTGTGTAAAGTAATGTGTGGGGAACCTGGCAAAAGTTCATCAAACATACATAGGAATTTTGAAACTCCGATTTAGTCTTGAACTTATGCATCCACTACACTGCTATATTCTAAGTTTTAGAAAACTCTTGCTTTTTGATTGGCAGAACTAAGAGAAATGTTTCCAGAATATCAAACTTAAGCACGTCTGTTCATCAAAGGGCAAGATCAATAGACACTTTAACTTATGAATTGGGAAGAAATACCTGCAACTCCAATGTCTGATAAAGGGCTAATATGTAGCCTATGCAGCTAACTTGTATAACTAAATAACAATAACAAACCGAACAACATGATTTAAAATAGGTAAAGTATTTTGAATAGATATTTCTCAAAAATGAAGCATATGAAAATATTCTCAAGGTCTTAAGGGAAGGGCCAACCAAAACCATAATGAAATATCACATAATACCCATCCAGATGGCTTTTATAAAACTAAAAAGAATACTGAAAACAAATGTTAGTGAGCATGTGGAGAAATCAAGATCACATTTGCACTATTGGTGGAAATATAAAATGATTCAATCACTTTATAAGAGTATGAAAGTTCCTAGGCCAGCGCCGCGGCTCACTAGGCTAATCCTCCGCCTAGCAGCGCCGGCACACCGGGTTCTAGTCCCGGTCGGGGCGCCGGATTCTGTCCCAGTTGCCCCTCTTCCAGGCCAGCTCTCTGCTGTGGCCAGGGAGTGCAGTGGAGGATGGCCCAAGTACTTGGGCCCTGCACCGCATGGGAGACCAGGAGAAGCACCTGGCTCCTGAAAAAAAAAAAAAGTATGAAAGTTCCCTAAAAAATTAAAAATACTATTACTCTATGACCCCAAAATTGCATTTTATATATATATATATACACACACATATACACACATGTATTTATACATATATACATATATTCATATCTATATGCATATATATACATACACACACACACATATATATATACACAGACACCATAAAGAAGTGAAAGCTAGTACTTTAACAGATATTTTTACATCCATATTCATAGTGTCATTTTTCACAATTGCCAAGGGTAGAAGCAAGCAAATGCCCATTAGAGAGTGAGTGGATAAATACAATGTGGCATGATAGCATGTCATTTGGCTCTGCCACATGCTACAACCTGGATAAAATGAAAACATTATGTAGGTGGAATAAGCCAGTCACAACAAGAAAACTACTTGCAATTCCACTTAGAGGAGGTACCCAGTGTAGTCAAATTCATAGAGACAGAAATTTGAATGGTGGAGGTTAAGGGACAGTAGGGAGTTGTTTAATGGATGTAGTTTCACTTTTGTAAGAGGAAGCAAGTTCTGGAAATCAATTACACAACAATGTGAATGTAGTTAATGCTACTGACCTGTTTACTTACAAATGGTTCAGGTGTTAAATTGTATGATTTATATATTTAGTTTACTACAATTTGGAGAAGAATTTCAAGAATGGTTATAAATTTGTTTTATTAAAAGTCAGTGTTTCGTGTAGCTATCAAGCAAACATATCAAAGAATTATATATACATATCAAGCAATAATTAAAAATCCCTTTCTCTCCAGTCCACCATTTAATATATTCGTTCTTTTGGAGAAACAAATATTTCATTTTCTTCTTATTGGGGTTTCCCTTTAATTGATTTATCATTTTCTAAAACAGAAAATATTAAAATGATACTTCAGTATTCTTATTTTTAATTTAATTTATTTTCATTTCAAAGAGTAATTGGAGAGAGAAAGAGAGAGAGAGAGAGAGAGAGAAGAAAGGAAGGAGAGAAACAAATCATCCATTAGCTGATTCACTCCCCATATGCTCACAATATCCTGGACTAGGCCAGGCCAAAGCCAGGCACCCAGAAGTCATTTCAGGTCTCCTACGTGAATGGCAAGGACTCAAGTGTTTGCAGCTTTACCTGCTGCCTCCCAGGGTGCACACTAACAGGAAGGTGGTGCAGAAGCAGATGTGGTACTCAAACTCAGGTGCTTGGATACGGGATACAGGCATCCCAAGCACTGGCTTTCCCACTGTGTCACAAGTAAACCTATTATAAATGTTGCAATCCATCATATTGCTCTTCCATTAGGATATTAAAAAATGAATGTAGAATATTATTGTGGATACATTGTGTAAAATTGTGCTTAGCAGTAAAATGTTACCCCATTTTTTAATTTCAAAATTGTTGAATTTTATTATGATAAGACTTTAGCAATGGACAGATAAATGCACTTAGAACAATGAGTATTGATTAGTCCAATAGAAATAGAATGAACATTTAAGATTCATCTAGTTGTCAGAGAACACTAATGATCCAAGATGCTCATAAATCTACTGAAGCCACTCTTTAGATGTCCACCCCCTTAATGCTTGTCCTGTGGTAGGCAAAGTCCTAGAAGGCCCTAGTGGTAATTTCCTGACGAGTGCGTCCTATATGACACCTCTCCATTGAATGTGGAATTCTAATGAGTGAAGCAGAGTGCTGAGATGTCACTTCTCTGATTGGGTCACAGGACCATCGTGTCTTCCATCTATTATCCCTCCTTTCTGACTCTTCTGTCTTTTTCCCTCTCTATCCCTACCTGCCAATATTAGTCAGCGTTTTGTCCCTATAGGAAAATGCCTGGTACAGGCTACTTACGAAGTAAAGAGCTTTATTTCTACTCACAATTCTGGAGATTCGCAGCCCCAGGCCAGGCAGATCCCCGTGGATGGCCAAGTGATGACAGTAGCTGGGAAGGTGCCGGGATGACCTGGAGCATCACCTGTCTTTAATAAAGCCGTCATTATTTAACAATGTGTGTTCTACTCCAGCGATCTATTTCAACAAATTCACTTCTCATTTCTAAACAAAATAATTAGGTTAATTAAGTTACGTTGCCACCCTCTTAGTATCAATAACATAAGACTTTGAGCACCAAGCCTTTAATTATGGGCCCGTGACAGACCCAAACTAATATTCAAACCACAGCAGTGGCCTTTCCTAGGAAAAAGAAGATGTCATGTTGTGAACAGCCCTTTGCAGGGGCCCTCACCTCCAGGTGGTGATGTCTCACGGTCACCCATGAGGATCTGAGGCTGGCCAGACACCACACTAGTAAACTCAGAAGTGGCTCCTTCCTTAGAATGATGTCATAAATAAGAGTGTCAATTGTTAAATCAACAACAGGAGTCACTGTGCACTTGCTCCCCAGGGAGGACCTCTATCCTTAAAGTGTTGTACTATGCGAATTAACGGTGTAACTAGTCTTCAAACAGTACTTTATACTTTGTGTGTCTGTGTGGGTGCCAACTGTTGAAATCTTTACTTAGTATAGAGTTGATCTTCTGTATATAACGATAATTAAAAATGAATTTTAATGAAGAATGGGATGGGAGAGGGAGTAGGAGATGGGATGGTTTGTGGGTGGGAGGGTGGTTATGGGGGGAAAAACCGCTATAATCCAAAAGTTGTACTTTATAAATTTATATTTATTAAATAAAAGCTTTCTAAAAAAAGAGTGATGAATGCAACTCCAGAAGGTGCCATAGTTGTAATGTTATGGGAGACTTTGATCCAGAGCCACTCAGCTAAGTTGTGTCTGGATTTGTGATTCTCAGAAGTCACAAAATCATAAATCCTTCTTATTCAAATCTGTTAAATTGTGAGGAGTATTTTTTAAGATTTTATTATTTATTTGAGAGGCAGATTTATAGATACAGAGAGGGAGTGACAGAGAGAAAAGCCTTCTATCTACTTGTTTACTCCCTAAATGGCCACAATAGCCAGACCTAGGCCAATCAGAAACCAGGAGCCAGGAGTTTCTTGTGGGTCTCCCACATGGGTGCAGGGGCCCATGCACTTGGGCCATCCTCTACTGCTTTCCCAAGCCAGAAGCAGAGACTCGGATCAGAAGAGGAGCAGCCAGGACATGAAGCAATGATCACATTGGATGTCAGTACCACAGGTGGAGGCTTAGCCCACTATACCACAGTGATAGCCCCTGAGGAGTAATTTTTAATGCATTGATGGTTGACTAATCCATGCCCAAATATATCAAATATAATATTTTGAGAGTTTATTTGTCTATTTGAAAGAGAGCAAGAGAGATCACCCATCAGCTGGCTTACTCCCCAAATGCCTGCAACAGCTTAGGGCTGGCATCAGGCTGAAGGCAGGAGTCTAGAACTCCATCTGGGTCTCCCAAGAACCCAAGTACTTGAGCCATCATCTGCTGTCTCCTGGGGTGCACATTTGCAGGAAGCAAAAGCAGGACTCGATCCCAGGCACTCCACTACAGGATGTGGTCCTCCCAAACATGATGAACCTGTGGCACCACAATGCCCACCCCCACATATAAGCTTTTAAAAGTAATGATTTGCGTATGATTTTTATAAATTTTAGGGAACATCACATAATAGAATTCTTCTGCCGCAGTTTCTATTCCTCTCTGTCCCAAACCCCATGATCTCAGGGTGGTTTAGCATAATATGTGGAGCACATATGTTCAGACTGACTTGATTGACATGTTACTCTAGTTTTATCTACCATCTTTCCAATATTCTCAATCACCTCTTTCTTTGTTTCTCTTCTCTATCTGAATAAGAAAGCACCCTTTCCTACTATTCCTGTAAGCCTTTAAGAATATTAGGAGAAAATCATTATATATCTGACTACTTATGTGCTATGGTATTGTTTGAGTAAGTCTTTTTTTCATTCATATACATTATAATTTTATCTATTTTTTTCAACTTTTATTTAATAAATAGAAATTTCCCAAGTACAACCTTTGAATTATAGCAGCTTTTCCCCCCATAACCTCCCTCCCTGAGTAAGTCTTGTTATCAAAGCTAATTACACTTGTTATCAAGCTCCTCAAATTCTTCAATCAGCAATAGAGTGATTCTTTGTCTTGTATTCAGAATCTGATCATTTCTCATCACCCAATATCACCATCATTGCTTAACAGGATCATGCCAATAGGTTCTGAATTGGTTTTCCTTTTCCCAGCACTTTACTGTCATCTATTTCAAAACAGCAGCCAGAATGTTTCTACTAAATGCAATACAGATCATGTGTCTTTAGAGTACCTCAAAGTGTCACCAGTCTGAATATATTAATTCTGCAATCCATGAACTCCTCACTTACACCACAAGCCGCCTCCTCATTTCAGCCACACTGTAGTCCCTGCTAATCTCCTGTTTTCCAGGAACAATCCCACTTTGGGGATTTTCTGTAGTATTTCCATGGCTTGACATGCTTTTCGATTAAATATGCTCAATCAATCCATTACCTGTTTCTTCAGGCCTCTGCTCATAATTACATCTTCTTTAGGAGACCTACATTGCCCCCTGACAAATATTACAGCTCTTCTTTCTCCGCCCTAACCTTGAGAATTCACCATCATTTATCATCTGCTACTATACAAATTAAATTCTTATTTATTGTATTATGATTTGTTATCTGTTTCCCCCCACTAGACCATAGATCCATTAGAAAAGTCTTTCTTTTGTTCACTGTTGTATTTCAATCACCTAGACCTTTTCCAGGCACATAGTAGGCATTCAATAATATTCACTGAAATGAACCATGAACTGGATTGAATCAATCGCCATTTTAGTGCTTGAAGTTCGAGAAGCGGTAACAAAGTATTAATGATTAAGTCAGTGGAAGTGCTTGCTGAAAGATACATCACCACCTAATAAGTGACAACATACTGGCAGTGAGGTTCTTGCTTTCCCTCCAAACAAGTAATCTGGTGGAGCATATTAATGAAAAGGACATGATTTATTCATTACTATTTGCAACATTGTGACTAAAAAAATTAAATTGTTTTGTAGAAGCTTGATACACTCTGAGGCCTTTCCAATTTCTTCACTGTTCTTCCCTTGTTAATTTTTCTTGTTTTCTTTAAAGGACTGTAGGCAACTAAGCAATATCCTGCTGCTTTGGCGAATAATGGATTACTGACCTCTTGAACTCCTTCATGGGCATTATGTCTTCTACAGGTTTACTTAGCATCCTGGGCAGGGCGATAGAATTCGTTATTTCTTACTGGAAACCACATAAAAAGGAAAGAGGGTAAATCTTATTTTGGACACAGTACAAAAAGAAACAGATGACCAGCACAAGGCACTTTCCAATATCACTTTTTAAAGAATAGATTTCACCAACTGTTTTTTCCTTGGGGGAACAATGCTTTTCAACTCACCCTTCTGTTAATATCAAAACATAGATTTGAGATAGAAAAGGCAGAAAATATGAAAATCAAAGTTCCTTTTACTTAACATTAGATAATACTTTTTTTAAAGATTTATTTTATTTATTTTAAAGGCAGAGTGTCAGAGAGGGAGAGAGAGAGAGAGAGAAAGAGAGAAAGATCTTTCATCTGTTGGTTCGTTCCCCAAACATTCACGATGGTCTAGCTGGACCAGACCAAACGCAGGGGCCTGGAACTCCATCCTGGTCTCTCACGTGGGTGGCAAGTGACCTAGTACTTGGGCCATCTCCCACTGCCTTCCCAGGTATATTAGCCAGGAGGTGGATCAGAAGTGGGGCAGCCAGGACTTGAACCAGTGCTCCAGAATGGGAATCCAGTGTCCCTCCCATCTGGTGGTTCACTCCCCAATTGGCTGCAATGGCTGGGTTTGCACCAATCAGAAGCCAGGAGCCAGGAACTTCCTCTGGGTCTCCCATGTGGGTGCAAGGACCAAAGGGCTTGGGCCATCTTCTACTGCTTGCCCAGGCCATAGCAGAGAGCTGGATCAGAAGTGGAGCAACCGGACTCCAGCTGGCGCCACAGACGGCTGCTTTATCCGCTATGCCACAGCACCGGCCCCACGTTTTACCTTTGAAAGATTGACTAAAAGGTGTTGTCATGGTGAAGAAATTTTCTCATCATGGCTATTAGGGGTTCTCTGTGCTTCTTAGATTTGGATACCCATATCTTTCTCTAAATTAGGGAAATTTTCTGCTATTATTTCACTGAATAAGTCTTCTAAGCCATTCCATTTTTCCTATCTTCAGGAACTCCTAAAACATGTATCTTGTTATGTGATGGTATCCTGTAAATTGTGACCACTGGTTTTGATTTTTCTAATTATTTCTTCTTTCTTCTTGTCTGACTGAGATAATTCTGAAAGTTTGTCTTCTAACTCGAATTTTCTTTCTTCTGCATTGCCAAACGTGTTGTTAAGGCTTTCCATTGTTATTTTTATTTGACATACTGAGTTCTTCATGTCTAATAATTTCTAATAATTTAGTTTGATTTTTCTTTTTTTTTAACTTTTATTTAATGAATATAAATTTCAAAAGTACAGCTTATGGATTACAATGGCTTCCCCCCCATATCGTCTCTCCCACCCGCATCCCTCCCCCTTCCCACTCCCTCTCCCCTTCCATTCACATGAGGATTCATTTTCGATTCTCTTTATATACAGAAGATCAGTTTAGCATACATTAAGTAAAGATTTCAACAGTTTGCTCTCACACAAACATAAAGTGAAAAATAATAGATGATTTTTTAAATGATGATGAAATCAGATCAGACCTATTGTCATGTTTAATCCCAGTGAGAGTCAAGTTGGGAACTGATAATTTCTTCTCTTTTTTTTTTTTTTTTTACGGAAGATCAGTTTAGTATACATTAAGTAAAGATTTCAACAGTTTGCACCCCCATAGATACACAAAGTGAAATATACTGTTTGAGTACTCGTTATAGCATTAAGTCTCAATGTACAGCACATTAAGGACAGAGATCCTACATGAGGAGTAAGTGCACAGTGACTCCTGTTGTTGACTTTACAAATTGACACTCCTGTTTATGGCATCAGTAATCTCCCTATGCACCAGTCATGAGTTTCCAAGGCTATGGAAGCCTTTTGAGTTCACCGACTCTTATCTTGTTTAGACAAGGTCATAGTCAAAGTGGAGGTTCTCTCCTCCCTTCAGAGAAAGGTACCTCCTTCTTTGAAGACCTGTTCTTTCCACTGGGATCTCACTCACAGAGATCTTTCATTTAGGTTGTTTTTTTTTGTTTGTTTGTTTTTTGTTTTTTGTTTTTTTTTTCCAGAGTGTCTTGGCTTTCCATGCCTGAAATACTCTCATGGGCTTTTCAGCCAGATCCGAATGCCTT